GATGGTAAAACATTTTTTCTTTTTTATTATATTTTTTTAATAAACTTTCGGCTAAGTAAATTAATGCGTACCAACGCCATTTAGTTCGTATAATTGTCAATTATAATTTTTTTCATAAATTTTACAATTTCGCGATGACAATAGATACTTTCAATGTCAGCAGCTATTATAAATTAGAAACAGTTTTAACGATTTTACAATATTTTTGGTTTCAGATTCTCGTTGATCATGAAAATATTTTTATTTATTTAAGCCAGATACGTTAAATTTTTCAATAATTAAAAAATTACTACCTAAAAGAGGTATCCAAGGTATCTGTATACGTATACGGGTTTGGTTAACTTAAACCTATTTTTGTATCTTTAAACTAGTTGTTTATAATAATATTTTTTATTTGTTCTAGTGTTACTGGAAGTTATAGACGCAGAGATAGACAAATTCAACGCACGGCTTAAGGTAGGCATAAATAATAGTAAATAGGTATCATACAAGTTTCAGTATTTTTGGTGCACTCTGATAAATTTTGAAAATAGGTACTGTACGTTTCACCTATTTAATTATCAATCAATTATCTTTCACATATCAGAGGAAAACAACGACAGCAACACGAGTAACAACAGTAGTACCATAGACCTATCCATTGTCGGTATAAACAATTAAACGTACTAACATATGTTTGGAAAAATAAGAGAGTAAATAAAATGAATCAAAAGCGCTGGAAGGTTTTTAATTGACAAACAGCACTCGAATCGCATCTGGACGTGTTGCTTTCCATTAGCATCAAACGGCTTTTAATGCGATCTGTTGTTCCCCGTATTGACAATGTTGTTTCCTTATCGGACTCGTATGTTGTTGCCACAGCCCGAGCCGCTTTGATTTAATGTTATTCAATATCCATGTGCAAACCACCATCGGTGACTCTTCACAAACAAGAAACACGAATTCTGCACTTGCGCTTGTTTCTCTTCTTATTACATATCGTGGAAGATGTGCTCGCTCCGCTTCGTGGTGGCATCCTCTCTTATCAACCTTTAAAACTAATATACATAGGTACACCGGCTTAGTTGAACGAGGAGAATATACCTCAGATTTGTGGCTATCCTTTGTCTCTTGTACAATCTTCTTCCAAACAGCAAAATCGATTATTCTACTTCTTCAGTGTACACCTCGAAGCTTAACATATCCGAAATGAATAAAATTAACATTAAAATGTAGCTATTGAATTAGCTTTAGTCCGAATTGGGATTGAGAATCGTTCTCTGCACACAAGGATTATTTTAATCCAGGTGTACTCTTTTTAAAAAGAAAATGATATTCAGGATTCACAAATTTTGAGTGTGTAGTAATTCGTACTTAATAACACACATGCAAAAAATTAAACCGTTTGATAAATGTGGTATCAGTTTTGGTATTCTTAACATAAATTGAGGCCAAACTAAGAAGATACTTATTAAACACAGTTTAATTGTCCTACAGACAACGCTTATAGTACATTGCATATGTGTTTTTTCTTGTTATTTGTTGTTTTCAAATCAATTGTCATCATTTATGAAGGTATAGATACTTAACGTTAATTTTTTACATAATTTTTATTGAAGGTGTTAGTATTAATATATAATTGTTTTTACTAAATACACATCATGTGTAACTACTTGTATATACAGGGTGTGTCACGGTGACATCTACTAGAATATTTCTGAAACTACTTGGTTATTTCAAATGGAACATCCTTTATATTATGATGCTTTTTAATTCTACTTATGATTTTAGATAGACCTTTATTTTGCTTTTCTACTTCTAAAATTTATCGTTTTCGAGATATTAATTTTTTTTTAAAAAGTATCACAGAGCAACAGGTTGCGAAAAAGCATGCCTATTTTATAGTAAGAAAGCCGGAGCAACAATATTCTCAGAAAAGGTAGCTATACCCTCAAACTTCCCGTCCATACTTTCAAAGTGGGTTTATTACATACAGGGTGTTAGATACCTGGTGGCGGATTTGGTTAACTTCTTCAACTAACAATCGTAAGTCAATTTTTTTAAATGGGTCACCCTGTATATATTTTCATAGCCTTATACAGAATTTTATTCTCTTTCGAATAGTACTATGGCTGTTCATCTGCTTAGAAGCATAACCCCCTCCCACCAGCTATTAGCCCAATATATTACTAGAATATTTGTCTTTTGCCCAACTCTCAGACTATTACAATAAATTGGTTTGTTGCATTAGTAGTAGATCATTCTGCGTTTAAATTAAAACTAACAGGCCACGAATACTCAAAGTGCAAATTGTTCTGACCTTTTCTGTATTTTCTATTCCGCGTTAAAAGAGTTCCTCATCGAATGCACTGGCAATGGCGGCGAGAGAGAGCTACACAAGAAAATGATCGTGCCGAATGCAATCCCACTTTTCATCTGCCTCCATGCTTGTTTTGATCAATGCGTATCAATTAGACTATTATGCTGTCTTTGGAAATAGTCGGTAATGATATGGCTGCGCACTATAACTCTCGAGGCGCTGTGCATGAAGCGTTAATAACCTATAATTTAGGATATGTCATTCATGAAATATTCCCGCAGGAGGGACTTCCACGTATACACGATACACCGCGTTTTTAGGCGGAATGAACGCGTTGCTTTCGTTCGATGATAATACGACCGACCATCTTTGAACAACATTCTTGCAGCTGTGTCCGTCAGTATGATTTTACAGTTTATCCTTTATCGACATTATTCGCTGCAATCATAATCGGACGTCACCTTTCTCACTTGATAGCGCACAATATTTAACCGATTATTACATAAATTACTTAAGTTACCACGCGGTTTTACATTCAGGTGTCGTATTATGTTAGTTCCAAATTCTGTATTATCATTAATTATTATTTCATCATCATGAGGTCGTCAGTCCTAACACTGGTTGGACACGCACCCCCACTCTTTCCTATTCTGAGTTAAACCCCCCATTTCCCTAAAACTAGAACAACCCATATCCTTAACTATTTGCGAACAGTAATCTAACTCTTAACTCCAGTTTTTGCTTCGAATATGTCTCTGACTAGACCTTTATGCCTGAGAAGATAGCAACCTATCTCGCTTATTTCTTATTGACTTCGATAGAGACCTCTGTTTTCCTATTCCTTCTAATACCTCTTTATTTCTAACCTTCTCTATCTACGGTAACCTCAACATTCGCCTGTAACACCACATTTCGAACGCTCCTAAACTTTTCTTTTCCGCCGCGTCCACTGTTCATGTTTCGCACCCGTACAGCGCCAAGCTCCAAACATACACCTTAACAATCTTTTTCATATTTCTAAATTAACCGTTCGCGAGCATATAAATGACTTTTTTTTTTGGAGGCGACTCGACCTTACGCTATCCTTTGCGTTCTATCCCTACTACTTCTTCCGTGCTGACTTATCTGACTTCCTAGATACCTAAACATAGTCACTTCTTCTAATTTTTCGTCTCCTATCTTTATATTCGCTCTTTCCCTACTTTTCCCCTCATGCAAACCAGTATTTTTGTATACTTAACATCTTGAATTATTATTTAGTATAAAATAAATATTATAAAATTTAACTGTTTCGTTATATTAAAGAACAGCCTTTTTAAACGACTCTTATGTTCTATTGCTATTCTCAAGATCAGTTAATTAGGAAAAAAAGGACATTTAAAAAAAGCTTTTTAACGCAAATGTTTTGCAGACTTACTCTACCTACTCTTGGTTCAGAATTTTGCTGTTTTGTTTTCCCATTTGTTATGAAGACCGTTTCAATTTCATCGACAAAAGAAAATAATTCCTGAAAATTGTCCATTGTTATTCATAGTGACCGTAAAGGCATGCAAGCATTCTAACAGGTGTTATGCGACAGACTATCATTCGAATCCAGTCTGTTTTCAATGGGGCATTTATGTGCAATTCAAGCGATTTAACAAATAATGGTCATTTCAGCGATCAAATCTATTAATTCCATTGTATAAGTGGATATTAGAATTCTTCGTCTGTAATCATCGTCAATTTGGGAGGCAACAAGGGTTGTAACAAAAATTAAACGTTCCCAAAAACAAAATTGTTGCCGTGCCGGCCAGGTATCTAATACTTACCTCCACATATATCTCAACTAAGTGGCAATAATTCTACAGCTTTAAACGTGTGTCATCAACGATTACAATTATTTCGTTGCTTGAAGATTTAGGTGGATTAATGACAGGGTTCGATAGATGAAACGTTTCATTTTATATGCTCACGACTTAAATGCGAATTGGTGTTTAAGAAGAAAATCAAATTAAAGCTATTTCAACTATTGTGATTATCGATTATGGAAACATTTTTTTATAGAAACGGGTTATATGAAATAGTATTTTAACGATATTGTTCGGGATTTTACGGCCGGAGTCAATTGTTAAGTATTAATCTTTCAAATCTCTGACTTTTTATACGAAAATAGCAGGTTGAGCGGGAGACAGACAGGTACTTTGGTGCCTCTGGCAGAAAAACTAGCCAACGAATTGAAAAGCGTTCTTCTGAAACAGTACTCAAGGACTACATCCTTCTATTCATTTCTTCAGTAATGTCAAATGGGTCATCTCAAAGAATAAATTTGTGTTAGTGATTTTTCTTCCCTTATCAACGCTTATCCACCCTTATCAACGCTCCAAACCACATAAAGTCTCGTTCAAAAAGTCGTTTAGGTAAATACTAAACTAATGAAATTCTAATTCTTGATTGGCGGATTTCCAACGAGAGGGTTCAGTTGAAACGAGATTATAATGTCTATAAACACTAAAAGGTGGCAAAATCATACTAATATGTTATCTTTAATCAAAACTTGATATACCAACAAGCGGCAATTTTTAATTGATTAGTTTTTTGTTATACTTATTGAATTATTATTGCGAGTGTTAGTCATTTCTTGTTTCTCTGGTAGAACTACCCGGTCATTACCGATCGAAACTGGGTACCCCGCCCATCTCTGGTTTGTATCCATTTTAATTTTCTCATTGAGCGTTATATTTATTTAGCATTTATTATCTATAAAATGTAAATTAAAAGTGTCGGTGAGGTACTGGATCAGGCTCTTTCTCAAAAAAACTACAGGAATAATATTTGAAAGAAATATTTATCCAAAAGAAAATATTACCTTTAAGTTTTATTATCCAATTTTAAAAGAGCATAAAACGCAGGTATAAAGAGTAATATCGCGGGCATAAGAAGCAGAAAATATTGCAAATAGAATCGCCGTATACTTGTAATCTTCGCTGTAGCCAACAAAGTCCTTTGTGCGCCACTAAAAGAATCATAAAAAAGATTGTAATGATCGGCAAATTGCTTTTCCATATGAAGCAATGTTAACGCCGCGCCGTCCGTTCTTTGGTTTATTATAAAACTGAACTGAATTTAATACCGGACAATAAAAATGTATCGTGCGACGACGGTCCCGAAGAGTCATC